CAAGAAATCTTAAATCTGCAAAATAAACTGACCGACAAAGACAATGAAATCTTTGACTTGCAAAAAACCAATAAAAACCTCAGCCAAGACCGAGACGACTGAAAAACCGAAGCCCATCGGAACCGAAGGATAGAGCAAGAAAAGAAAGCTACTAAAGAACAAAATGATTTCTTAACGGAATTCAATAAATTACAAGAAGCTAAAATCCAAGGAGGCAAAAGCTAATGAACCTTAACCCCGTCTTAGAAAACTTAAAACAAAAAACTGTCCAGGAGACCCCTATTAAACTCATTTATTCTCAAAATGACTTTGCCGTCTTTGATAAAGGTTCTTCTGAATTCTACGGAGCCGAGGATGAATTCATTTCTGATCAACCCTTAGAGAATATTAAGTGAAAAAAAGAACTAACTGAAAAAGATTTTAAAACTCTACCAGCTGTATTCTCTTGTAAGTTAGGCATCATCATGGATGATGTTTTTAATACCATTTTTCATAAGAAAAAAATGAAGCAAGCTCTTCAAAGTCCAGCCCACCAGGCTGCCCTGATCGATAGGCTAGTGGACTCTATGAAAACCAAAGCCACCACGGCCCTTAATAAAAAAATAGTCGAGATTATCTGTACTAAAGAAAACTATAAAGATAGTGCTTGAGAAGAAATCAGTCAAGCCGATGCTACCATTGACAGCCTGGACAAGGCTATCAAGATCCTTAAACTCCTCAAAAAAGCCTATAATGGCATGGACGAGATCTCTGCTAATTATAACAAAGGCTACCAAAAACCTGGGGATCCTACTTGAAATGAGGTGGAGACTAATTGTGAGAATAAGAAGAGTAAAGTTTTAACTATTGATCCGGACTTTTTGGATGACTTAGAAATCTTTTTCTTGGCTGATGTAGCCCGAGATTCTAATCTTAACCCCTACAAGCTTTTTAAGGAAGTAATCGTGAAGAAATTAGAGAATAACGTGCTAGCTACCATCCATGATGAAAAATCAGTGTTTTATCGAATTATTAATCCCGAAGAGATTCAGCATGAGAAAACTTTGGGTGGGGGCTTAGA